TTTCCCCTTCCCCCCCCCCCCCCCCACTAGGGTGTGAACTCCATAAACACAGGCTCTTTGTTGCCACAGTGCCCCTCACGCAGTAGGTGCACACTAAATACTTGCCGAAGGAACAATCAGAAACTGGCCCCCATCCAGTTGAAGGTGGCAACCCCCCCTCCCACCACCACCTTTCCACACCTGTTTTCTGGGATTTTTTTTGGCAGCTGGCTGGTATGGGGAGCCAAATCCTTCTCCTCGGTGTTACAAGGCTATGCTCTAACCAACTGAGCTAACCAGCCAGCCCTCGTTTTCTGTTTTGACCTGGCCATGGGTCACAAGCATGCCCCCAACTGCCCCCGGTCACCCCTAGAAAGACAGAGCAGACCCAGAGACGTGGGGGCCGGTGGTTGTAAACAGAGTTTTATTGATGGGGAGGGGACCGGGGAAGGCAAACTCCAGAGAGGGTCCAGGACTCAGCTGGCCACGTGGCATGCATGATCAGCTGGTGGTCAAAGGGAGGAGGTCACAAAGGAACGGGTGGCATGGGAATCTCCGACCACCCTGGGGCCGTATTTACAGGGGGGCCCACCCGCCTTCACCGCCCCCCAGACCCCCGAGCCCTTTAGACAGCTGCTGCCAATGTCACTTCTGGACAGGCTCTCCCCATCTGTCTCCCTGCCTGAAACCCCGGCATTGTCCCCCTGCCCTCTATAGAGGTGGGGTTCAGAGTCCTAACCGGCATCTTGGAAGCCCCTGGCCTTCTGGAAGCTCCAGCGTTGGCTCAGCCGACGCCCAGGCTGCTGGGGCCGCCACGCTGTCACTGAGACACACACACCCTACGTGTGACGCACGCCGCCGCACACGCCACCAGCAGCCCTCGCGGGCACGCACACGTACACCTCCCTCCCGGGCCCCTTGCACACGAACACGGCATGCACACGCACATACACCCACACACGCCAGGAGCCTGGGTTGAGGAGGGAACCTTTCGAGGGGGGTCGGGGCTGGGGGCTTGGGTCTGCAGCTGAGGCCCCTCTCCTCTCCCCACTGCAAAGCCCCCCAGCCACCAGCCCGAGAACGGAGTTGTGCAATTGGTTAGAAAACTGCAAAAGAAACCCAAAACTGCAAAAAAACCCAAATCTACGCGCATAAGGTCAACCGCAAATCCGTAGCAAATTCCTCCCGGCCGCCCACCCCCAAACTGTCTCAGTGTCCTGCGGGCCCCGGCTGGGGGAGGGTGAGCTCCTTGTGCTTCCGTGTGGTGGAGGGGGCCCCCCACGCGGGCAGGGTGGGGGTCTTGAGCACCCACTCGGAGCTGGCCCGGGCCTGGCGTCCTGGCGCCGTCTCTCGCTCCTGGTTCCCGCGGCTGGCACTGCCAAGGCGTCGGGGGGGCCCCGGCTTAGGGTACCGGGGGCGCAGTCCTGTCCGCCCCCCCATAGGGGAGGAGGTGGGCCAAGTCCGTGCTCGGTCGGGCGTGGCAGCCACGGTGACGGTCACCGGGCCTGCCCTCACCGCTGTTGAACGTGTGCGTGCGGCGCAGGGCGG